TCCATTACTCACTTATCCTGTGGGTAAAAACCTTATTAGGATAGAGCTCTTTTACTATATCCAGTAATAAATACAGACCGTCTGTTCTCAAAATCCAAGGATGGTGGTTGATCTATACTGCTCAGTTGTGTGAGGACCATCGCCAGCAGTATCAGTTGTCCTGGCCGCTCATTGTCAAGCAGTACACGTCCTAAGGGTAATTTAGGGAGAAAGAGAATTACCTGCCTCCCGTCCAAGACAACCCCTCCCTCTGCACATTTCCGGCCGCATGGCTGCACGCACGCGCCCGTCGGCTCATAGTCTATGTCCACCTGGTCACCTCCTTATTCTCGATCATGCTTGTGGACGCTACGATGTCACGCGCGCCAGGATCGTCTTCCTCGACGAGGCCTCCACCCTCTCCTTTGTCGGCGGCCACCACCGCATCTTGTCTTCGTCCAGTAGCCCGCTTCTCTTTCCTCGCCCATGCTCATGGCCAGGCACTCCGGCGGCATGGCACAGTTCTTCGAGCCCAATGTGCTCCCCTTATTCGACGGGATCACCTCGCGGCCGCCGGCTAGAGAAGTTAGATGTGGTGCCTATTTCTGATTCTGAAGCTAGGAATCGACGAGCTCCACAGATCAACCCACACATCATCCCCATCGATCGGGAAGCAATGGAAAACAATAATAGTACTCAGACTTGAGTGATAAACCACCCGTCGTACCAAGACAGAGGAGGTGGGAGAGGTTGCCGTCTGTATCATTTTTTTGCAGGTAGCGAGTTGTACGGAACATGACGCGGCCATGCATGTGAGGGTGATGTGTGCCCTGGCTGGATGTGCGGTGACCCGGCGGCGAGGTCAACTCGCGCCTGACGATCTACATCAATCGTGCGGGTGGAGACTGGTGGACAGAGTATGTCGTGATACAGGGAGGCGATGGTGAATTCGACGACGGCGTAGTCGACAGCGAGCAGGGCGACGTCCGACGGAATAACCAGAGTAATCGCTTGTTTCTCTTCTAATAAGTACAACGAGCAGATCGACTCATCGATGGGATGAAATCACCTGACTAAACTGCCCTCATGAAATCAACGGTGGATGATTGTATACTGCTCCCTCTCCTCCGTAGCAATACAGGGTACCATAAAAAAGCACATTAGGGTAAGTGTATGGGACAAAAAGTTACCTGTGAGTATGTAAATAGGGAAATCTCAAACCCATTGGGTAGAGCAGGTAAGATCATATAACCCATACCCGCATATCCATGTATCCTTGTAAAATCTAACAAGTACGGAAAAATTATCTCTATCCTTTGTCATGAGTTTGTGAACTTAAAAATGTATGACTATGTACGATGTTTATGAATATGTGTTGATGTTTTGATGTGTTGTTGTTTACAAGAAAGTGTTGATGTTTATAAAATGTGGTGTGTTTATGATGTGTTCTTGCTTATATGTATTGATGTTATTGCATCTTTTTGTTTATGATTATTATCACGCAAATTGATGTTATGCAAACATGTATATTTTTACCCGTAGGTACCCATTTGCCCTGCCGGGTGATAGGTATGGAAAAAAATTGTACCCATTAGCGGGTATGGGTATAGGTGATGGGTAAGCTTAAAATAGACTGGTAAGGGTATGGGGTGGCTTCACTCGTACCCAAACCTTGCGGGTGCCATCCCTACTCTCTCACCTGGTGGGGTAGTATGTTCACTTGCAGTACACGCACACATTTTTTGTTATGTCTGAAGAAATTAAAAAAATTACAGCGTCTGCGGGAATATTGCAGTGCACTTGATGGGTTCAATAATTGGGATCACAATGTAACAAATGCCCCCATCACTGTCAGATGTCGATGCAGTGGAACGCTATGTCAGATGGCTGGAGGCGCACGATGGGGGAGGTCTCGAACTTGCAACCTCTCGCGAGAGTGCGGGGGCTTTTTGCCAATGGGCTGGAGAGCTGGTTCGTGAACATTCATGTTAAAACAAATTTTTTATATATAACTTAGCATTTTTGAAAAAAAAAATTCATCCAAAAATCTCAATTTCTCTTATAGTTTCTCACATGGCGGTTTTATTATAACCGGATTTTATTTTTTTTATAAGAGGATGACATTTTTTATAATAAGAGGATGGTATTTTTTTATTATAAGAGGATGGTAGTTTAATTTTATAAGAGCACACCATTTTTTATAATAGGATCGCATTTTTATTATTGTGTGGATGGCATTTGTATTATTTAAGATATGACATTTTTATTATAAGAGGGTGCCATTTTTTACTTATAAGATAAGAGGATGGCATTTTTTTATTATAAAAGGATGGCAGAGAATGACAGTTTTATTATAAGATCATGTCATTTTTTTTAATAATAGGATGAGCATGTTTATTATTTTAAGAGGGGAGACATTTTTAATATTGAGAGGTGGCATTATTTTTTAGTGCCACTTTTTTGCACACGATTGTTTTGGTGATGACTACGAACATGGCAACTATTATGGCATTTTTTTCATATTTTTTTTATTTTTGTCATGGTATTTTTCTCAAAAAAACTATTTTGTGGGCCTTTGGGCCAACTGGGGGTCATCATGGCCCTCCCACACTGGTGAACGAGGGAAACGTTCGCCGAGGGAGAGCCCTAGTCAGCACCTTAGGCAGATCCTATTTGACGCCCGCAGGCGTCAAAAGGATGAGCCTTCGCTGAAGCTAGTCACTACATGGGCCAGCCCACGTGCGGATTTGCTTCGCTGCTGTTTTCCTTGTTTCTTTCGGGTTTGTTTTTCGTTTTTCTTCTGAGGTTTTTTGCTTCCAGCTTTTTCACTGTTTTGGCCGGTTTTCAACTGGTTTATTCCGGTTTTTTATGTTTTATGTTTTGGTTCCTTTTTTCCTTCCAATTTTTCTTTTACGTTTCCTTTTTGATTTTCTGTTTATATTCTTCTTCTCTTTATTGTGTACTATATAAAAAGTTCACCGTGTATTACCAAAAAACTTTGTATTAAGAAAATGTTCATTGTATACTATAACATAGTTCACCTTGCATTATTAAAATGTCATCATAGATTATTAAATTGTTCAACGTATATTAGAAAATGTTCATTGTGTATTTCACTTTTGTTCATTGTATATTAAGAATTTGTTCAGCGCATATTATAAAATATCCATTTTGAATATATTTTTGTTCAGTATGTTTTCCCAAAAGTTTCACTGTATTTTAAATTTTGTTCAAAGTATATCATAAAAATGTTCAATGCTTTTATTAAGGATTTACCATTGTACTTTCTACTTTAAGGTTGGCGCTACATTTAGATCGTTCGATCTCGCTGGTCCGGCTGGCTAGCTTCGCAAGGATCCAGCAGGAGGTCGTGGGTTCGATCCCACGCATTCAATTCTTTCTGTTTCAAATTTCATACCGCGTTATAATTGGGCCGGCCTGTGTGCGCGTCGCTTCAGCGAAACCGCGACGATTGGACGCACGCGGGCGGCATATAGGAGCTCCCAGCACCTTAGGCGCCCGTTTGCCCAACTGCCGCTCATGTGGCAGCTTCTCCAGGTCGGCCCAAACAACACCAGCTTTCTTTTCATTTTGAACAGGTTCCATGTAGTTAACCTGTTCACCAGATGACGCGCATCATTTGGCCAGTTGACTTTTTCAAAAAGGTTCACGAAATTGAAAAAAGATCATGAAATTGAAAAGGTTCGTAGATTAGAAAAAAAGATCATGAATTTCAGAAGTCCACAAATTCAGAAAACAAATTTCCAATTTGGGAGAAGTTTGTAAATTTGAAAAAGTCGATTTTAAAAACAAAAGATAATCAACCCTGAAAAACGTTGCAAATTCGGAAAAGTTCATAAATTTTTTTAAAAAAATCTTCGTTTCTGAAAAAACATCAAATTTGAAAAAAAATATTTAAAAAAAGTTCATCACTTAGAAAAAGATCATCAAATTTGAAAAAGGATATTTTTATATTCGTAGTAGTTCAAAATATATGACTTATTTTTTAAATGTGTGAACTTTTATTAAGTCCGGGAACATTTTTCCAATTTTACGAACGTTTTATTAATTTTTTAATTAATGTCTTATCGTAAAGTATAATACTTTAATTTTTGTTTTATTTTTTAAGTTATTTTTTGTTTCTGTTTTCCACGAGCGGTTCTGGAATGGTAAAACGGATGTGAATCAAGTAATCTCTGTGGACTTGAGTTCCAGTATCCAACATGTTTCTATGAAACGTGTATGGAGTACATTAAAGTGTCTACATAATATGGGAGTGATTTCGAATATCTTAAAAAATATCTTCCAAATATTGTGCATTTTGAAAAATATAAATAAAAGAATGGAAAAGGAACCTAAAAAAGAAAAATAAAGAAAATAAACCAAACAAAATCTGAAATAACCAAATCGAAAAATGGAAAATAAACCAGGAAAGAGCTCTCTCTCTCTCTCTGCACCCTTAGATGGGCCGGCCAAGTCGGAGGCTCCTCCTGGTGACTGGGGGGTCCTACAAATTATATCTTCTGTGTCTCAAAAAAAAAAAACAAATTATATCTTCTTTGCCCGTTCATTAAAGCCACACGCAAAAAAGAATTGTTTGGCATGTCACCACATAGATAGAACTTGAAACACGGTTTCTGTTCAAAAGGAGCCATGCAATCATTTGCGAAAAAAACACAGTTATCATCAAATTTGAAGGACATGAATGAAAGAAAAAAGAAGAAAAGATCCGGTGCTTGCACCCATAACTTCGAGCTTTTCGTACGTATAAACCATGTTTCCATGTGTCCCAGTCCCTAGCTACAAACGCTGGCGATATGGTGAGTGGCACAGCCCGAGAAAGTAACCCCTCCCGCCACAACGACACGCTTGGCACGGGAGCTCTGGGCACACATTATTTTCCCTTCAGGACGCCTGAAAAGCGTGTGCCATCGTCGTCCTCCGACCGACGACGTTAGCCGACCAGTGCGTGGTTCATTATGTGACGAGGTCGATGCCAGTGACGAGGAGGGCGTCGGCGATCACTTGGTTGGCCGCCTCCGACGGGTGGACGGCGTCCCAGAACACGTAGGTTGACGCGTTCGAGCACGTCCCCACCGACTTGGGGTTGCAGAGGAACACCGTGAACTCCACCTTTCCCGTCCCGCAGCATCCCCGCTTCGCCTCCGTGAACCCTGACACCAGAGACGCGCCCACAGTTGAGCATGAACGATAGAGCGCAAGGCTGCAATGCCGGGAAAGCACAAACAGTGCCATGCATGGCACCCAGAGGCCTTAGGTCGAGTAACAGTAGTGGTACCTTGATCTCCAGGAGAGGTGACGAGGCTGAAGAGCGGCGTGTAGATGTCAAAGACGGCGATCTTGAGGTCGTGGTACCGCTTCGACAGCGAGCTGACGGCCGCGCTCATCTTCCCGTTGAACCGCTGGGAGTCGCTGTTGAGCCTCGACACGCAACCGGTGCTCCCGTGCCCGAACAGCGTGATCGCCGCGGGGAGGCAGCCCAGGGGCGGCAGCGTGGTCACCGCGATGCGCCGCGCTCCCATGCCGTAAAGTTGCTGCATTCGGTTTCAGTTTCAGAAATTAATCACCTCACTTGACCCGTACCAAGGATGGATCGTTTGTTTAGGCTGGCGCGACGTGGCTTACCGTCGCGCTGTTGACGAAGATGCTGACGAGCCGGTCCGAGAACTGGTCGACGGTCTGGGTCTTGAAGAGCAGAGGGTTGATGTAGTAGTTCTGCACAAAGTCACTTGCACCGAAGCTGACGATGTACAATGAGCCACTGATGATGGACTTGGCCTGGCTGCTCCCAGCGAACGCCGTCAGCTTGGATTGGTACTCCCTGAAGTACTCCAGTTGTTGGGAGAAAGGGATGGCATGCTGCGTCACACAATTCATTTGCCAAAGTTAACTAGAGGCCATTTAAACTCTACAACAAATATGCAAAGTGCTACTGGTGTCAGGTAAATAATAATGAGGCGGTGACAGATAACTAATCCATTTATGATCGACGAGCTGATGATCATTGATCAATGAACATGAAGTAGCATGCAGGCAGAACATCTCAGCTAGAGCTTCTCCTTTCATGGCGCCGATTCCTCGAGAGACCGATGATCGATAATACTTACATACATAAGCGCGGTGTGATCGTAGTAGCCTGATCCAGCAGATGCGAAGTTGGCGCCGATCAGAAGGTTCTTCCCTGACGCCTGCGGGCTGAGATACGCGGGCGGGTAGCTCGTGAACCCCAGTGTATCAGCTGCAACCACGCAAGTCGTAAAAATTGATACATCAGCAAGTGCAATCATAATACTGCACCACCATGTACGTAGATGCTGAAGAACACATATTAACAAGGAGCAAGAGAGAGTGTACAAACTGACCAGTGATGTCGGTGGCCAGCTTGCCGTTGCAAAACCTCCCGGTGGCCACGCGGTTGGGGAAGTCCCTGCCGTAGGGAGGGAAGTCCGCCTTGATGAGGGTGTGGAGGTAGTCGTTGTTACCTATATCCACCGACGAGTCGCCGAACGTGAAGACCCCGGGCACGAGCGGCTGCGCCTCCCCGCCATGATCCCCAGCCAAGAGGAGCACAGCCAGGAGCAGCAGGCACCTCACCCCCATTGCAGAACCAAGACAAGCTCTTGATCGAGTCTGTGATTATCTTGTGAGGAGAAGCGCACGATCTGCTCTAATGGAACGTGTGTGACCTTTATATACAAGTGCGTGTGCCTGGCTGCCTGCACACACACAAAAACGAGATGACACACACAATTGCAGTGGTTAATGCGTTTGTTATGAGTCCATAACTACACCATGTGAACAAGCCGCCCTGACAAAGACCAGGAAGCACCCAGCCCGGTCGGCGGGACCTGGCTGTCATCTAATTTCTGCATCATGTTTATTCGTTCTCCGTCAGACAACACGCTGAATATAGTACGCGATCGCAAATTTGCTAGCCGCATGGTTGTCGCATCACATCACCATGCCCTGCATCCACCGCATGGTTATCCACACTAACTCCTCCATCCGCAATGGCGACTATTTATTGTGTTGATAGGGAAGCAGGGCGGTGGTTGAGGGGGATGCTGTGGGTGCTGACTGATGAGGCACATCGATCACAACACATTGGCAATAGAAGTGGCAGGAACATGAGATGAATGAAGGCTCCAACAGCCCACCACGCAACCACTAGCTAACCAGTTAATGCACATGTTGTACGAGCACAATATATGCATTGGGTCCAAACTGGAAGGATCGTTCACAGGACCTGGGTGCAATAGATTCTGGAGGATATGATCTGTGCGGTGCAAATCTTTCAAGTACAATGTGCCAGCTCGGTAGGTTTGTAAGGATGACTTCCATCAATGCCACTCGACACTAGTGAACGCCGTGCCAGCTCGGTAGGTTTCTTTCTTTCTTTCTTGCCTGGTTCAAGTAAGCTACTACTACTTGGAAGCTACGGCGAAAGCAGTGGCTGCTGGTAGTGGTACCAGGATGGTATACAGTATACTCCTGTTTACTAGTAATGCTGCTATTATTGAATTATTAGGGCAAAAGAGTCCGTATAAGATTCTTATGCTTGTGCGTATTCTAGAAAAAGATTCTCATGCATTGCTGATTAGTAGGAACTGAGCTGTACATGGATGCTCACTTTAAGCATGCTCTAGGTGGATTCAGGCCTATGCTGGAAACACTACAGTATGTTAGGTACACAGATACACACTCAAGCTAAGATGAGCTTACCTGATGAAGGACCTGGTAGTCTGCACGATTTGGAGATATAACTGTACGTTGTAGGTGCCATCAATCATTATGGCTCCAACTGCCATTTTCTAGTGGTAAAAAAAATCGAGGGTGAGATAGATCAGAAGTTTTGCAATTAAAAAAATTAGAATAATGCTAAAACAGACACATACGTGGTCTGGTAAGCATTAAAGGGAATGAAGATTTATGTATTAGAGCATGTATGAAAGAGTATAAATTTTTCTGCACACTACACCATGCAGCTAGCAATATCCAACGAATTTTTTGTCGTTGAATGTTGAAAAGATTTCAGTTTCTCAAAAAAAAAATGTTGAAAAGATTTAACAGCAGGATGTTAAAAATGCTAAACAAAGATATGATAATACTTTTATCTCCATCAAAAGCGCCGAAAGCCATCGACTCGTTTGAATCATAATGTATGACAACTTTGGCCTATGCGCACGGCATAATTAGTTTAACCAAGTATGCACACCATGCATAGCTATTATCATGATTGTGGCATAAACCATATCTAACTATCAGGAGTGTACCAATAGGTATGATGAATTTGATTTTGTATCGTAGTCACAAAAAGAAAAGGAAGAAATAGAAGCAAGATCCTATATTAAGATTTATCTGAAACACAGAAAGCATGACATCACCTTGAAACCAGAGGAGCTGATAAAGGGTCCCACCTTATTTGATAACTTCAAGGCTGAAAAGGAAAGAGAGATATGCGTGTTCCTATGTCATACATAAGATTGTGAAGATGACTAACAATAGAATAGTTGCAAGTTTTGGATAACCGACCAAGCTGCTAAACTGAACCATCCAATGCTTTCCTAGACAGTTCCTTACAGAAGGTTGACATCACCACATATAAGAAGATGAGAATACCTTATAATATATACTATACATAAAAAACGATGGCTACAGGTAACACACGGACCTACCATTGCAAGAATATATAGAAAAATCATCATCTTCCGTGAGTTTAACATCAATGTTGACAGCCCTAGCTCATATAAACCGTCAGTGATGCAAGTAGCAAACACAACCAAGGAGAAAGGCACCTAACTCAGTAAGCACTGAGGCTTTAGTCACAGAAGTTCAAAATGTTGCAGCGACCTTTTATCCTGTCAAAATCATTTGAAAAGAGTCACAAAGAGATAACGGAAATATGAGATATGGAAGGCTACCAAATGATGCTAGAACAGTAAATAAACCTTTTCTGGTGTCAGTGTTCAAACGAAGCTTGAAAGATATACCATATCCAGACCTCAATCAACATACAGTATAACATCTGCTGCTTCGTAGAAGGAACAAAAGCAATCTAATTTGGAGAAAATTACACAAATTATGTGCAAGAGCTAAAGAGTGTTGAACTAGCATTCCATGATGAAGTGATAAAACAATTTAATAGATTGATTGTATCTCTAGTTTACCCAATTATAAAAGGGATAGGTTTACCCAATTATAGAAGGGAGCAGTTTACCCAATTATAGAAGGGAGCATGGAGCACTGCATGGGTAATATAGACCAGATTCGGTAACTAAGCCAAAAATATTAGCCCATAGTTGCCATATATGGTATATTCAGAGTTGAGGCACGTAAATGCAGAGATATAACATACAAAAGAAGAATTGAGGTGTAACGGAAACAAGTATAATTCAACTATAGCTTTCCTCCCCTGTGGAGCGTCAGCACTTGAAAGGAACATGATAGTGTTTAAGTAGCAGCAAAATCAGTTGGATGTCATAATCAGTGTACTCAAATACCAACAACAGGACGGCCTTTTGGGAATCTGTCAAACAGTATCTGCAGATTTGAACATAACAACAACTAGAAGAAATCTCAGAATAGCTAGAGTTCATCATGAGTTAGATACGGGCGCAATGCGGAAAACATTTCTGTAATTATTGTCATCCTTCTAGTGAAAAGTGAAATGCAGTTCTTTTAGACAGGACAGATCCGTTAACTATGAAAGATGGAGAGAACAGTTGCAGAGACGATGATAGTGCAACTAACATAATGAAGCATACAAGGACAATGATACCCTTATAAAGCAAGGTATCAACAGTAACATCATTCAAATGTCCAAATCATAACTGAATTCTGAGAAACTAACTGGAAGTAGAAGAGTAGAAAGAGTATCTACTCTTGCACATGTAAGGTTCATTAAGCTAGCAGGTCACAAGACAATCGATGTACATAACACAATCTCGCGTCTCCAATATGGATCATTGTGAAATTTATGACTGAGATACTCCTAATTATGCATCCAAGCCAACAATTCGGCGCAGTTCTTCGACAATAAGATAATGCACATCAGATGAGTACTGAACACAAAGGTGCTTCATGTTTACTGGCATCTCAAAACTACAGGCTTACAGCAGCATTACCATATTAACCGAACGAGGCTTCTTCCGACACCTAGATACCACTATCATACGTTCTGACCAAACACTTGACTACCACTAACATCATCACTTAAGTATGGGCTTAACATGAAACAGAAACCCATGTATCAGTGACCACAACCTGAAATGCTGATCTTCACCAAAGAAAGAGAGCTACAAAACCATCTGATGCCACAGTAACTGAGCAAATCTTTCGCCGTGGCCGTGAATCATCATCTAGCAAGCCATGGACGGTCTCAAAATGTCACAAAATCAGGCACCCCTGTTCAGCAAAACAAAGGACTTCACACTTTCACAGTCCCCCCTCAAAAGACTTGCGCCGCTGCTGCGACCTCTGCCCGTACTGCGCCCACGGCACCAGCGCGATCTCGGCCATGTCCCGCGGCGGGCCAGGGCTGCCGCACCCCGCCAGCGCGCCGTCACCGTCTCCTCCACCCTTCCCCTCACCATCAGAGCCGTCGGCCTTCCGATCAGCGGCGAGCGCCTCGGCCTCCACGTCGCACACCGCCGCCAGCAGGTCGATAGCGCCGGCGTCCTCCTCTCGCGCCACCGCCACCGGGGCCTCTGGCTTGGGCGCCGCGACGACCCTCCCGCAGCCCGGAGGGTACCTCCGCACGGCCGAGAGGCGGCGCGTGACCACCTCCGCGGCCGCCGGAGCCCTGGTCCCGGCCATCGGCCCGTCCGCCTCGCCGCGATCGTGCCCCTTGGCCCCGGGGAGGCGAGCCGCGGCGGGGGGTGACGAGGGTTTGGTGGCCGCGCGCGCGTAGGGGTTGCGCGGTGGTGGGTCGTTGGCGGCGGAGGGGACGGGGGCCGGGCGGCGGGGTGGCTGGGCCGCATTGCCCTGCTGGCGGCCGCAGCACGGCGGGAAGCTTCGGACGGCGGAGGCGAGGCGGCGACCGGCAGGCAGCGGCGGGAGGGATGGTGCTGGTGGTGGAGCCGTCGCCATTTGGACTGTAGCGAGGCCTCGAAGTTCGTACCGAACGAATAGGAGGAGGATTGCAAGATTGCAGGGGAAGGAACCGCCGAAGGAAGATTTTTTACCACGGTTAATTTGCTCGGTCGGACATTTTACATTTTATACACAATCTAAAAAACAAAAAATGCATTTCGATATAAGTTCAAAAGAATAGTTTCACACAAAAAAATCCAAAAAATATTTATTTCTTCGAAAAACTTTCGATCTATTCATCAAATATCATGACAGTACAAAAAGCAAGACAAGTAACAAAAATTACATGGACAACCTGGCATGATGACCCGATCCAAAAAAACCCGATCTTCAGGCTTGACGTTCGAGTTGGGCTTGGGCTCCATTTTTGCAGCCTAAAAGTGTCGGCCCGGGCTCAGGCTTTGATTTCTCAGCATTTCACTGCGGGCTTACACGTGTATAATCCACGGAACAACGTTCGGGCCAGGCTTTTGGGGTTCGGGCTTGTTTTTGGGCCGGGCTCGAGAAATATTGGTATTGTCACCATGTCAATATTGTAATGTTAATTTTGTTTTAAGTCACCTATGTGGACGCACCGGGGATCCTATTCCGCGTGTAGGTAGCCCGGTAGTTACCGCTCACGTACCCCCGACTCCCCCGCTGCGTACATGTGGGCCAGCCCAACTAAGCCATGTCCGGATTGGGAAGGTTCTAGAACATACACGTTTTGGTTTTTTTCTCCTTTTCATTTTCCTTTTCCTTTATCTTTTTATTTTCATTTTGTTTTTTGTGTTTAACATTATTTCAAATTGGGGTGCACATTTATTGAATTCAAAATTAGTTCATAAAATTTAAAATATGTTCATCATTCTTTCAAAAATATTCATGAATTTTTTTAAAATGCTCATCAAAATTAAAAAATGTTCATAGAATTCATAAAATGTTATTGAATTCAAAATTTGTTCATAAAATTAAAAAAAATGTTCATTGAATTCAAATTTTGTTCATAAAATGCCAAAAATGTTCATTTTAATTCAAAGTGTTCGCCAAACTTCTAAAAATGTTCATTGTTTTTGAATTTGTGAACTTTTTTAAATCCGTGAATATTTTTTTGCATTAGTGAAGATTTTTTAAAATCCTAAACTTCTTTTGAAATCTCAAACTTTTTTAAAGAAGCAAAAAATATAAACATAAAATAAAAGAAAAAAAGAAAAGAAAAACAAGGGAGCCCCACACCTAGGCCGGGCCAAGTTCGAGCGTGGGGGAGCTTTGGGTGCACGCCGCGCCTTTCTTGCTAAGATTCTTGAAATGCGGAGGAAATAGACTTTCTTACTCCTGCACCATTCTTGCTAAGGGCATCTAAGGAAAGCGCCCGACGCGTTGAATAGGAGTTCCCTGTACGCGATGGGTCCGAGGACGCTATCTCAGCCTAGCGTCCTGCAGGCCTCATGGATGTTGGTCACGTGAGATTGAGTTGCTTGCGTAGGCCCTATATTTTGAGTGATATCCGGGGATTGAATTGGAGTTGACCCTCGTGGTGCTTCCAGGATGATGGTCTGGTTGTCGACTCACTTTGAGGATCATGCATAGCAAGTTATTGGCCTGATTCATAGTCTTCTCCCTGGCGTTAGAACATGGCGGGTCTTAGCCAAAGGGCTTGGCTGGTATCGTTGCTCACACTCCAAACAAGTCCAACTTAGCAAGGGGGATTTTGCCTGAATTCACCAATGCGAAAATCACACCCAGTGCCGAATGTACTCCCACATTTGTATATGTTACACATTAGGCGAGAGCTTAGAGGAACGACATGTGGAGGCATATTCGGGGGAAAGGAATTGGGCTCTCAATACCAAATTGTGACAAAGCCAATCGATGAGAAGGACCAAACCACACAGATAGCAGTTAGCAGGCAAGGGCAAGTGAGAAGGAGCAGAGAAAAAGATGAGGAACATGAGCAGGGGACGTTGAATATACATGTTTCTTTGGCACAACCAGTCGAAGAGAATTTTGTCATACCATGAGCAAGGATCATACCACATATGTACACCATCTCTTTTTCCCTTTTACAACACATAAAAGTACGAAGTCTTTGGAAAGGATGGAATTTTTTTTTGGTGTAATACATCACTGGTTAGGGGGTGATCCCCAAATATGAATGTTTTCCTTTACAAAATATTCTGAATGCCCACGCGTTCCCACGGAAAGAACTGGGCCGTTGTTTTAAAAAAGCTGAGATCTGGGCCGTGTCCTGATTAGACGAACAAGCCCAGACCAAAGACGAAACCGGTCGCACCAACAGACAGTCCAGGGCTCCCCCAAGTCGCCCCACCTCCACCCAAACCCAAACCCAACCCGCTCGCTCGCTCGCCGCCGGCCGCCGCCCAGCGCCCCCGCCGACCCCTCGCTCCCGCCGCACGCCGCCCCCATGGCGGATCCCTACCGCTCGTACCTCCCGTCCTCCTCTCACGACAGAGGTACGCGTCGCTCGGACCCCCACGCAGCCGGGTCCCCTCTTCCGCGGGATCGATTCTCGCCGCGTCTCGAGTCGGGGAGGCAAATCTCTAGATGATGGGCGAAGGGGGTGTGGGTTTCCGCTCTCTGCTTCGTCTGTAGCCGCCGCTGAAGATTCCTAGGGTTCGCGCGGGGTGAGGTTTTGGGTAATTGGGTTGTAGATTGCAAAGGAGGGGAACCTTTGTTGCGGCAAGATTGGTTCGACTGGGATGAATCTGTGTGTATTCTGGATTGCTACCAATCTGCCAGTGCTTAGTGGTTGGGTTGTTCCGTTGAGTCGACTAGTTTCTAGCCTGCGGCGAGTTTTAGTAGCATCCCATACCACACTGCTGTTGCTAGGGCATGGCTGATGGTATATATAGTACACATATATACCTCTATGGTCCAGATAGGTGTCCTGTGATGTCTGAGGTTTGTGTTGACCTGGATGAGTTATGGGTCTTCACAGCAAGAGTAATCCACGGAGCGCACGTGAATCGTATCCCACAAGAGTAACAGCATTTACCGCCCTCCTCCAGAAAACGTGTTGCCAGACAAAAAGATACCGAATCGTTTTAATGTTGTCCAATTTTAGTATGAAAAATCTGGTGATAAATAAGTTAGTATCTCAATTTGATGCTAATCTTCGCACGGTCTGTAGTGGTAGCTCCGCACGCTCGCAAGCGAGACGTCACCGGTACGAGTCCTCCATCGGTACATTTTTAGCAAACTATGTTCAATATTTACTGTCACTTGTGCGCGCAACAAGATTTAATCATTTAAAGATAAAAAAACTAGAGGTGTGGGATAGGCACGTCGAATTCGTGTTCCAAGGGGGCAACACCAAGAGCGAGCTACCACTGCACCATGGTTGCATATGTGTAAGACCTGAGGTCACATTTTTCCTATAAAATTTTCAGGAAATTTGGAAATTCGTTTGAAAATTCCGCATGGTAACTTCTGGTGTTTTCCAGTAAACATGGTTACCACAAATCCTGTCCCTTCGGTACCAATTGCTTTATTCGTGTCATAGTGTGTTCTTTGTTCGGTTTTAAGTGATCGCGGGAAAGGAAAGGATAGCTTTCCCACTATCCATGTGAGCATTTTGCTATTTGGAACTGGCTTTGGTAAGTAGGTTTGGAGGAATATGAAGTGTGCTAAAAGATAGTGGAGTGTAAGATTGCCCTGAATCAGGCGGTTTATGTTGTGAGGGTTAATGTGATGTTGTACCCTTTTTTTTTTGAGGGAATGTGATGTCGTATCTGATACTATGTGGTCATGGAAATCATTCTTGAATTGAACATCTATAGGTAGGAAGAACCTCTATGGTTGTCAAGGCAGTTTGCCATTGTTAGTTGTTACCTTTTTATATGATTATACTATTGTCTATTGAGTGTTGGAACACAAGATATAGTTATGGTGTATATATAATTGTAATTTTGGAAGCACTCCCTCGTGCCAACTGTGGACAGTGGACCCATTGTTCAATCAACTTAGTGGCTACTTCAGTTGCATTCGTTTGGATAGATTGTCGAAGTTGCTGAGTTGTCAGAAGTGCAAGAATAAGCAAGTCTCCATGGACATATTTATACATGCTGAAAGATGAATGTAGGAAGTTGTATGTAGTTTGCATTCATATACATGCATGTATGCCTGTTTTGATGAGACGTACCTTCTGTTTTATCTCTTTATTTATTTCCTTTTCTTTCTCTTTTGATGTGGAAAATTACACTTATACCGCATTATAAATGCCTAACATGGATTTTGTTGCCATGGGATAATTTTATTTTATAAGCAGTTCCACTGGGCGGTTATCCTGGGTATGTTCCACATGAGGAATCATCCTATTATGCTTCAAAAATGGCTGCTCTGCGAGGAGTACCAAATATACCTAGAGTTGATGTAAGACAACTTCACTTTCGCAAATTTATAGTTACTAGTAAGAGCAAGGTAAATACCTTTTTGGTTTATCACACAGCAAATTGTTTTGATCCACAGGTACCATTACAGTCAAGAGCTTATGGTTTGGATGTTCCAGCAGGCGTGAGCCATCCTGCTTATGGTTTGGATGTTCCAGCAGGCGTGAGCCATCCTGCTTATGGTTTGGATGTTCCCGCAGGTGTGAGCCATCCTGCTTATGGTTTGGATGTTCCAGCAGGCGTGAGCCATCCTGCTTTGGTTGGATTGGGTGCACTGCCAGCTGGAGCTAGGCCGCGGGGACCTAGCCCTTTGGAAGACCCAGCTCTAGTCCAGAGAAGTTCTTCACTTGGCAAAAGTGTCAGTGTTTCAGAAGTTGAGCGCCCCAAACCCCTTTTGATTGTCGATCGGCCATCAGAAGATGAATCCAACATTCTTTTTGTTGATGGTCTCCCAACAGATTGCACCAGGAGAGAAGTAGCTCGTATCCTTTGTAATCAGTATTCTCCGCATCATATTTTTGTATCTCATTAGTTCCATTTGCAACCTTAACTTCCTCTGGAAGATTTGTTCCGTCCTTTCGTTGGCTTCAAGGACCTCAGACTTGTGCACAAGGAGCCCAGACGTGTATGTCCCATGCTTTTTCCAATGCATCATTTTTTCCACACTCCAAACAGTTGGGTAGTTCATAACCAGTCACCCATTCACTTACAAACCCGTGCATGTGCGAATTTGTATGAGAACCCCATTTTGCTAAATATATGTTTATGCGGTGAAATGTAAGCAATTGCAATGAAGCATATTTATTTGAAAAAGTACGTGGGATATTAGGACAGAAATTAATTGTTATTACTTGTACGTTTGAGTACCTAAGGCTCTAAAAGTAACAGAAATTATGGATGTCAAATTACGTCAAGTTTTTATTCCTGAACTTTATCTTGGTATTTTGTGTCAACTGCAACGCGTTACCTCATTTTCTTGGGTAATGAACAAATAGCTACTTCTGCTTTCTACATTTGCAGAGAGTTGAGCCCCCTTATTACTGGTGAAATGTCCTTTTTTAACCCAATTTCGAACTCACTTTTTTACCACTTTCCTCTTGCAGAGTGGTGACAAGGCTTATGCTCTGTGCTTTGTGGAGTTCAGTGACGCAAAATGTGCAGGGACTGCTATGGAGGCTCTCCAAGGTTCTTGTTTCAGTGGCGTGCATTTGTTGCTTTGATACTTTCACTTTATATTCCTTCATACTACCTCCGTTCCTAAATATAAGTCTTTTTAGAGATTCCAATGCGGACTACATACGGAGCAAAATGAGTGAATCTACACTCTAAAATATGTTTATATACATTTGTATGTAGTTCTTATTGAAATCTCTAAAAAGAATTATATTTAGAAACGGAGGAAGTATATCTTTTAGTGTGGACATTATCTTTTTTTTGAACAAGAATAATCACAGCATACTTATAAAGTATCAACAGGAGCTTTGCAAGTATTGGAAACACATGTGCCTTACACATTTAATATGCAAAACCAAATGTTGTCTCTGTATGTTCGCTATTCATGTATCAACACACGCAAAAAAAAAACAAAAAAAAAACAAAGTAGTATTTGCTGGAACCAACTTATAAGAATAAGCGTTTCTGGGCTGCACAGACTGAACATCAACATTTGTTGTTTTGCAGAATACCGCTTCGACGAGAGGAAGGCCGACGACCCATTCCTCAAGATTCAGTTCACAAGGTTCCCGTTCCGACCTCCGCCATCCCATGAAGATCGAAAACGCCCTAGTGCTCGCTGATCTCCGTCATCTATATATCCCCCCCTTTGCCAGCAGTGTATTGTAGGCAGTGGGCCATTGTAGATCAGCTATGTTCGTTGAGCCTGTAGTAGCAACCTGTGATGGGCCGTTGTCAGCTGGAGATTGGCTAGCTGGACAGACTTGTCTGATACCCACCTGCCTCCCTTGGCACATTCGCCGTGTTCCCGCGTCACATTTTTTGCGGGTGGATATGCTGGAAATGATATGGCATTCGCCGTGTTCCCGCGTCACATTTTTTGCGGGTGGATATGCTAGAAATGATATGGCATTCGCCGTGCTCCCGCGTCACATTTTTTGCAGGTGGATATGTTGGAAATGGTATGCATAAACTGTTACTGTCTTTGCAACTCCAGGGGCAGTAGGTAGATACAATATGTCTGATATCCTGGGGTTGCCACTAGTGATGCTGAGGAGTGAGGAGTGGCATCTTGTAGCCGGGGCCTGATACAGCCACCAGAGTCCAGAGCTGTCAATTTGGGACAGGAACCGCAAGAGACCAAGTTGCTCAGGTTCGCTGGACTTGCCGTTGATTTTGCCGTGGAATGTGAGCGCTGGAGAAGAAGGCGGGATGTCGACGGTGAGAAGTGCTCGCTTGTCATACGCGTCCGCCTTCGCTCTCGCGATGGTTGTTTCTGCTGGAGCTTCCCGAAGGAGGCGACTGGCGCGACGTGGTTTGGGGTTTTCAGAGAAACCCCAGCACGTCGGTTAGCCATTGGATCGCGAATGTTTTATCGGTTTTTCGTGTCTTCATCTTTATCTGTGGCTTGAGTTTGCAAGTGTCTGTAGGCTGTAGCATTGTCGTCGCCTCCAAAGTTTGGACGTCTAGAATGCTGGCGTTTTCTAACGGCTCGAGTATTTTGCTTGCAAAATTGCAGTCTTTTGATTTTCTCTAGAAGCTTGATACTTCTTGATGAGCTTTTCTTCTCACCTCACTTTTCTTCTTCTCTTACTAGCACGACTTGCTGTGTAAACAGGCTCTTTCGCATCCGAACTTTCCACTCATCTTTAAAATAACCACGAAAATGCAGTGGGCATTCTAGCTTTTTTGAGATATTTTTTGATGTGTTCATCACGTCATGGTAGTACAAATAACACAGACTTTTTGAAGGTGAGCCGAGCATCTCTTCGCACTTTTTTACTCTCTTTTTTTTCTTTTGAAACCGAGGCAAAAGCATCTCTTGGCACTAGGCTTCCTACATGTAGCAGCACATCACTTGTTGGCGCCTACATGTAGCAGCACATCACTTGTTGGCGCCTACATGTAGCCGGTTTAGCCTTTTCATGCTTTTATTTTATCTTGGATGATGATGATGATAGTGATGGCTCAACTCGGCGGACAGGAGACGGAGCCGGGCCTCTGCATTTTCCAGAGTATTTCCATGCGACCGGGATGGGTAGTGGGTATGTGTGCGCCTCCCAAATTGGGTGGTGAGGCGGCGTGAGAGCTCTACCCTTCCCTGCTCGGCATGGCACTGCCAGCGGCGACCTGTAGCTCTAGCGCGCGGGTGGAATCCAACAGTCGAGTCGTATACGCACGCGTTCTAACGATTCCTCTGGTGTACTCCGTCATCGCCGTCAGCGAGCGCCTTTGTATTTTCGGTGCTTCTTTTCTCAGCTGTGTACTCCTATGGTAATGCTATTTTCTTGACTGTGCTATAAGCCGGCCTGAACCATTGTTATACTACTCTCCCCGTCTCAAAATAAGTGACTTAACTTTATACTAATTTTAATACAAAGTTGGTATGAAGCTGAGCCATTTATTTTGAAACAGAGGGAGTATTATAAAGTGACTCCTATGCATGTTAATGTCAAATTATGTACTACCTATATAAACTAATATAAAATCGTTTAGATCACTACTTTATAGAGGGAGTAGTTGCATCAGCAACAGGTGATGTCGTTGACGCCCCTTCCATGTGAACTATGATGGCATATGAATGCAGATGCTCCATGAAAAAAAAAGCAGTTTGAGGCTATTGATTTTTCCTCCCCAATTCAAGGTACCGTCGGTGAGCCTCATTAAGAAATCCACCTCCGACATGCCGTTGCTTAGTACTCCTAGCTCTTGTTAAGAAATCCACCTCCGACATGACATTAAAATTCAAAAATGACATGACGTTGCAGTCCTACTCCTAGCTCTTCTTCTGGTGTGCACTAGTACGACCTGCTACCATGATTTCGTTGTTTAGGTGTTGTTCACACCTCACCTTACCAAGGCGTGTGTGCAGTGTGTACCAGCAGAATTACGTGGCACCGTAATGCGTAATTTGACAGCGAAGAAAGGTCAAATTCCAGACGAGGTAGACCAAGACTCGTCGCTCGTCACCAGCGCGGCAAAGCAGAGCAACCCCAACCGAACCGTCGTTTTTCTCCCCCCACCTTCCCTCCGCGTCCCCGCCCTCCCCTCTGAGGCCACCTAGCAAGCTCCGACCGTCCGCCCGCGCCCGGCCCGTCCACGAGCGAGCTGCCCGGCCGCCGGCCGCCGATGCCGATGAAGAAACCGGGCAAGCTCGCGCTGCCCTCCCAGGACTCCACCATCGGCAAGTTCCTGTAAGCAATCCACCTCCGACTGTCCTTCTCCCTCCTCCTTCAGTTTTTCCCCTCCTTCGGATGCTTTGCTGGTGCAGTCGTGCTGACTGGTTTTCTTCTCCGGCGCGGGGGCAGGACGCAGAGCGGCACGTTCAAGGACGGGGACCTGCTCGTCAACAAGGACGGGCTCCGCATCGTCCCCCAGAGCGAGGAAGGCGAGGTAAGCCGGCCCACTCAACCCGGCACCCCCTAGATTGAAAATTAAAATTCCCCAGCTCATCTTGTCCTAGACACGTAGGGCTGGACCTGCCTGGCAGATTGGTGCAGCCCGTACTGTTTTTTGTACTAGTAATCTCGTTGATATCGTCAGCAGATTTTAAATTTCTTTTGGGATGCGTGATTGGATTAGCAGCAGGGGGTTCCTGTCCTCCGGTGCTTGGTTACCTTTTCAGAAGAACGATTTAGGAAAAATAATGATATGTACTATCGTTAATTTTAATTTTATTTTATTTCCCTCAAAGAACATTATGTCCCCCTTTTCAGACCAGCCATTCAGCCAAAAATCGAATCAACTCTTCTCGACAAGAGATGGTGGCCTTGCATAGATGTAAATTGTACTTATTTTTTATAGTGACCTTGTATACATGAGATTGGATCAGAGGGTAGGGATCAGGGGTTTCCTATCCCCTAATTTCAGAATAACGTCTTAGGAAAAATGATGGGAGTACTACTATTTAGGATTTATTTTATTTCCTTTAGATGGTGGAATACATGCGGTCATCTTTCATGTGGGGATATCCTCCTATGCAGTTTATTACTGATACCATTTATCACGCATCCAGTAGTTGGTCATATTTATACGGAAATGCTGATGCTCACTTGCTTATACCGGAAGAGTGCTGTCTACCGCCATTTTTGTTTTCGGAATTGTCTAATTGCATTCCTGTTCTGAACATATTATACTCTTCATTTATCTAGTCTGTGTCTTACCTTCTTTCTGTTGACATACTCGGCTTCTCTAGGCTCCCCCTATCAAGCCGTTGGATAATAATCATCAGCTGAGCATAGACGATCTAGATTCAATCAAAGTGATCGGGAAAGGTAATAGCGGAACCGTGCAATTGGTGCGCCACAAATGGACCGGCCAGTTTTTTGCTCTCAAGGTATTGTCCCAAACATACATTATTTGATGCTTTTTTTCTTTAAATGTTTGCTATGTATTTTTGGTTCCTTCGACTTTTTTCGTTACAAAATTATGGTGGTGACTGTAACTATCCTCTCTGCTATTTTACCTATATATATGTTACAAAGGGTCTTCACCTCCATTGCTGCACTGTTGTCATGTCTGCAGGTTATACAGCTCAATATTCAGGAAAGCATACGCAAGCAGATGGCCCAGGAGCTGAAAATAAGCTTGTTTACACAGTGCCAGTATGTTGTCACATGCTATCAGTGTTTCTATGTCAATGGTGTTATTTCTATTGCTTTGGAGTATATGGATGGTGGCTCTCTCGCTGATTTCCTCAAGGCTGTTAGAACCGTTCCAGAGGCCTACCTTGCTGCAATTTGTAAGCAGGCCAGTGAAATGTCACATAATCAACCACATAGTTTCCCCTTCTTCTTTTTTTGGCTATCAGAATGTCGCCTCAAGATGAAATAGACCTTTTCAATCGACAATTGTAACTTCCTCATGCAGGTGTTGAAAGGGCTGATGTACTTGCACCACGAGAAGCGCGTTATACACCGAGATCTGAAACCATCGAATATATTGATAAATCATAGGGGTGAAGTAAAGATATCAGATTTTGGTGTTAGTGCCATCATCTCGAGTTCTTCCGCACAGCGAGATACATTTACTGGCACATTTAACTACATGGCGGTGAGTGAAAGTTTGTTTAAATTATGTAGACATGTCTTCCAGTGTGGCATGAAAAGATGTCCACCAATTTTTTTTGTTCCAGCTAACCAATGTAAAATGTATACTCTTGACAGCCTGAAAGAATCAGTGGGCAGAAACATGGTTATATGAGTGATATCTGGAGCTTGGGCCTAGTTATGCTGGAATGTGCCACTGGCAATTTCCCATATCCTCCTCGTGAAAGCTTTTATGAACTTCTTGAAGCTGTTGTCGACCAACCATCACCTTCTGCACCATCAGATCAGTTTTCACCAGAGTTTTGTTCATTCATTTCTGCTTGGTATTTGTGCTTCTTCATTGACCCCCCTTTGTTAATCAATATTACTTGGGCAATATTTGTAATTTGTTTAGTTCTAAAGTTTAAAACTATGAGCTTAGCTACAATACCATCATAGTGTTTTTTCTACCATTTGCTTGTGAGTTGTGAAGTAGTGATTCTCTGGAACTGGAATATGCTTGCGGACACGTACTGTCTGAACCTACAATTTGTTTTTATCTCATCTCATCTGTTGGCAGATTAATTGATCTTTTATTTATTTGTTTATTTATTATGCAACATCAGTGTCCAACAGATGGCTAATATCTGTTTTCTTATTTCTTTTTGGATTTCAGTATCCAGAAAAATGCTGCAGATAGGTCATCTGCCCAAACCCTATCAGTAAGGAAATTTCTGTTTGCTTCCCAATTGTGTATGTTCTTTTGAAAGCATCATTAGTTGGCTGACTGATCTTGATCCAATTCTTCTATCTGTTGCCTCTGACGTCCAGGCTCATCCATTCATGAGCATGTACGATGACCTGAACATCGATCTTTCTGACTACTTCACGACCGCAGGATCACCACTTGCCACCTTCAAGTAATCCAATAACCCACTGAAGAGTACATACATGGTTATTGCAATTCCTTCACAATTCCAGTGATGGTCTATTCTCGTTTTTTTTACTAGGCAAATCGCATTGTGAGACGACAAATGCTCAACCATGCGTCATGAGATGGAGCTAACTGAAGCAAGTGAATGGAGTTTTTTCCCCCTTCCTTTTGTTCATGAACTGGGCTTTGGTGATATCTTTGAACCGAGTATGACACAGTTGGCTGCATAATTATACGAATACAAGTCTGTAAACCATCAGTGAGCATCGAAGTTTTGCCTTCTGCATACCGGAGCCATCCGTTTGTGGTCTGACTTAGACCTTTGTTATGTATGGGCTTATCGCTTTTGCATTTCATTTTTACTGTAATGAAACTACATTTTGCTGGGTCGCTTCATGACCTGATTTGGACTAGTATTTCCAAGCTTTTAGTTCTGATGGTGATGTGACACTTCAAGTGGAGGGTGGTGGTGGGCTTCTGAAATCAGGAATGGTTGCTTTCGTGAAGGGCAACTTATTGTAATTTGTCATTTCACAGAACTGAAATCCAAAATTGATCCATGCAAAGAAGAAATAAAATTATGTTATGTTGTGAAATAGTGTAATTAATTTAGTATACACATTGTTTGCTCTATAACGGTTCCAGAAACCACAACAATGTTATAATGCAAATATTCTGGGCGTTGAAATACAATGGACACAGCAAGTTGGCTCTATTGCCGTCTCCTGCATAAAGCCTTTGTAATTCCACTAGATAATTGCCTTGCAATGGGGTATAAATATCAAAAACATTATTGTGCTGACATTCGTGGCAAATCGAACATTTTTTATGGCAATTTATATTGTTGTAAGGATAACAATTTCCTTTAGAAAGCACTGCAAATCCCGGCATAAAATTGAACTGGATGGATTTGCCATGCTTGCTAAACGAACTGGCCCTCCTCGTTGCAACATAAGTTACAATGAAAAACGTTCGATTTGCCATGTCCTCCTTACGAACGTTCGGTGGTAATCAAAATTCGTAAATATTTTATTATGCCAGCTCATGATTTACTGTCCATACTAATGTGATTGTGTAAAAGAAAGAACTTTATTGGATATGTATTTATTGGCTTACCGAAGAATAATATAGTGTTACTCCCTCTGTACCAAAATACTTGTAGTTGGGGGAACAAGTTCCCCCAGCTACAAGTATTTCGGTACAGAGGTAGTATTTGGTAAGTCAGTAAGTGGTGGGATAGTTGACCGGTGGAAAAAGCAGAGATGAAAGAAAAATAAATCAAAATAGGAAGAGGAAAGGAAAAATATATGTAAGGTTGGATGAAAGAGGAGCGAAATGCTGAGACCGAAATAGGAACCTTACTTTCTTTTTAAGTGGTGAAAGTAGTGAGGAGAGATTCCTACTGTAATGTCAAAGTTGTTTAGCAATTCTGGGTGTTCCCAATGCGCTAAAATTGAAGGTCTTGATGAATATATAAGCTTTACGACCAGGACACAAACACTGTGAGTAGATGTCTTAAAGGAAAAATCTCTAAGATAAGGTTTTTAAGCTAAGACGAGCTTATAGGAAAAACAATGTCTTCACTCACCTCGGTTCACATGTAGGATTATACAAAGTTTGCAAAGGACAATTCATTGAGTTGTTTACTTGAGAAGTATCTACCATGTAGGCTCCACTCTAAAGCCCATAGGGGTATAAGCTTGGAGAAATTCTAGTTTGCTAAAACACAATGAGCATGGCCTATCTTATGACCGATTTAAAAATTATACATTGACGAGTTACTGAATTCTAAGTGGGACAGCCTTATTTTCAAGCAATGCACTATTTTGTGCCAATTACGAAAGATAAAATGCTTGACATGTTGCCAAATGGATTTTCTTTTGACCTTAAACCCCACAACGTCGCCAGGCGGCGGCACCCGTGCAATGGTGCACGAGATGATATGATGTAAAGGTCTCCTAGCTCTATTCATGGAGCTAGCAACACTTTAGTCCCATGTAAGACTCCTAATATAACAGGTGGTTGTCCGGACTCGGTATGTTTTTGTGTTGGTGTTCGCTCTGGTGTTTGTTTTGGTTTGTGGTTCCTCCGGCTTTGTGCGTGTTTGGTGTTCTTCAAAAGCATTCCAATAATAAAGCAATAATATGACACCGTGTACTGCAAGGGTTTTTCTTTAATTGTGCGTTTAACGGTCTTAGTTTCTCACCTCTTCAGTGGGCAGCTCATGCGGCTACTCAATTGGCTTTGTGCAGGCTTTCTCTTCTAGATTCCTCCCCGGAGGTAGACTCAATGGATCTTGTTGTAATTTTTAGTTTTATCAACTTTATTGTTGTTGTTGTTGTTGTTATTGTTGTTGTTGTTGTTGTTGTTGTTGTTGTTCATGTTTGCTTAAGTTGTTTTGATCTATGTAGCATTATTAGAGGGATATTGAACCATTTTCTAATTAATCAGTAAAGTCAAATTGCTCCCCTAAGGAAAGTCAAACCGTTGTTACAAAAATAGTTTTTTTAGACAAAATAGTAAATCAACTCAAATTATCTTTAATCTCTATTCCTAATGGACGAGTTGGTTGAATAGTCCTCCCACTTTTGTCTGGTTTTTTTCGTCCGGTTTATTTTCGTCTCACTTTCCACCACCACTCCCATGTTAATTTTTTCTTCTTCACACTTAAAACCGAATCGTGTCTGATACTCCTTCCATTTATTCGTGCTTGCTTTGGCAGGTGTTGATTTAATTCAATCATGTAAATATTTGGTAATTAAGAATTCAAAAATAATACCATATACAGGAGATCACCTTCCAAACAAATCACCTCCCTCTCCGATTTATTTCTCCCACCGATCTTCTTCCATACTTAGCTCCGCTCGGAAAAAAATACAGCCGTTGAAGCCACCGATCTCTTTCCATACTTAGCTCCACCTTCGCTCCCTCCCACACACTTTTACGTAGCCCAAGAAATCCTCTCGCACGATCCTCGCAATAACTACAGAATATATCCTTCCCCAATTATCGCTTTCCTTGCCCGAGCGAGATCGTGGTCCCTTCTCCCCTCCTCCCTCCCACAGCTCGCTCAGGTTTTCTTCCGCTACACCTATCCTCTTCCGGCCTCTTCCTGGAGCCCTCGGCTTCGTGCTCGTAGGAATCGGAGGCGGTGACGCTCGACGTTGTCACGTCGAGGCTGGATCTAGGGGACAGGCAGGCGGCGCTCGTCACGGGAAGAGGAGCATGTAACTCATGGAGTCAAAGCTTGTGTGGGGCCGTTTGGCGACGCTCGACCGTGGCAGGGAGGCGAGGACGCGTGAACGCATATGTGCCTGCTCGCCGAGCGTCGCGACGTTGACGGGCTGGGGCTTGATGTCGAGGCCCTCCGCTTCCTGCACCTCTTCGTGTCGATGGCCAGAGGCACACACCGGTACTAGAAACACGATGGCCAGAGGTATACTGTTACTGGAAACACAATCCTGAATCTCTTCCGTGTATGTTCCCAAGGGTGTGTGTTTAGTTGTTTACCTCGTATCTTATCTTTGTCTATAGTCACCAATAGGATTAGAAGTCTGACTGCGCAGAATCTGTATTAAACAGTACATGCCCTTATTATTTCTAACATAAAATCTTGTTTTGTTGACAGTAAGCAACCACCTAATTTTAGGAAGTACCGTGTGGTGGCAAAAAAACTGATATTCAAGACTTCGTTTTGTACATATGATGATCCAAAATGCATAGAAACATGGGTAGAGATGGGAAACTGTGAAAGCGATGGGAACTATCTAGTACGAACAGTGTCATCATCTTATAATGCTTCATCTATGTACACCATAATGATGCATCTTACGTATCTATCTATTGTATCTGAAACCTTAATGCAATTAACTGTTGATTTTGCCCTACAACAGGAATACAGGATTGAGCGATCTAGCAGATACTTATGAACTTCTGAAGCTCGGTTGTTCAGATTATCATGGATGAGATGATAAGGAAGCGCCTGATATAGTAAGTGTCGATCTTCCGGTCTTGGCATTTTTAGATTCCTTGAGGTAGCTCAACAAATTTGCTGCAATGCTTTGTAGGATCATTTTGCAGATTTTACTGAAATGGTACCTGGTTTGAATTTGGTTATTTGCTCTATTTGTTTATTTATTTTCCTAGGAACAATCTGCTGTTACAAGCTTTGCTCTTAATTTTGATGTAAATCTCATGTTACCAGGTCCGCCATGACATGAATGCACCGTTGTCCCACTATTTTGTTACACCGCAGTACTCATATTTTACTAGCAATCAGCTAATCAGTGACTGCAGTGACGTTCCCATCATCATGGCTCTGCAAATAGGTGTCCGTGTAATTAAACTAGACATGGTGCTAAATTCTTCTAAAGATGATACTGATATTCTCCATCGAAGTACTGAATATGACTTTCATGGATAGTACTCATATTTATGCCTACCAATCTTTGTAAGTGTGGAACCTATATAATTCTCTTCGTATAAAATACTACTCCATCCATCTCAAAATACTAAAGTTGAACTCAACCAGCGATACTTATTTTGGGATGAATTGAGTACTATTTTGGGAAAGGCATCTAGCTGATTTTTAATAAAACTCTTCAGATTTGTATGTTGAGATTGTCTTCAGCAAATAATATTTCTATGAGATGTAGATTAACGACAACTAACAAGGACTGCCATGATTAGAGCTACGATTTTGCCCCATGTTTTAGTATGCATTCTTGCAAGCAACAAAGGTAAGGACATTGGCATCATGTAGTTTCGGGTAGTGCATGGTTCTATTTAATTAGTTTTTTCACAAAATGGCTAATGGTGCTGGTTGATTAAATGTGTATGTGCATTGAACAAATTGGTCAGAACTGACAACATCATTGTGACGCCCCCGATTTAATCGTACACTAATCATGCACGCAAATGTGTACGATCAAGATCAGGGACTCACGGGAAGATATCACAACACAACTCTACAAATAAAATAAGTCATACAAGCATCATAATACAAGCCAGGGGCCTCGAGGGCTCGAATACAAGTGCTCGATCATAGACGAGTCAGCGGAAGCAACAATATCTGAGTACAGACATAAGTTAA